TTGAAAAATTAATTCTTGGAAAAAGTTTGAATTCTAAATTAGCTACAAAATGAGAAGAATGGTCTTACCGAAAGCTCAAACGATTGTTACGCACAGAGGTTCACATGAGTAAAGGCATATAATTGCATATTCTTCCGGAAGTGATCGCACTTTTTCTTAAGCCCGAGGGTTTCATAACTTTCTTTGCCGAGCCATTGTTCATGCAGGGTTTGAAAAAATATCGCAGCTCTTTATTCCCGCAGGGATTTCAGACACAATGCGGAAAACATAAAGTATTCCACATTTTACACTTTTTCTCAACGACTCTCAATTGATGTCCGACGCTGCCATTACCATCAATGTTGTTGCTATTGTCATATTACTGCTGCTGTGCTACGACTTTTGTGTTTGCAAATTGCCAACACTGCAGTGTCAATTGACGTCGCGACAAAAGTTGGCAAGAAAAAAAGAATCGGCTCGGAAATGCTCGTAAAAATTCCAAAAAAAAAGAAAGGAAAGCATTTTGAGGAATTGTTGTGAGTGCCAAATCGAAAGCGAATGGCTGGATGAAAACACGTGACACGTCCTTTTGTCAAGTCCTGTCGACATTTTCGGGCTTATTATCCTGTGTGGATGTATATACATACATACATACAACTCAGCACATCTTTTACGCCGCGAGCTATGCTCTCAGCTTCGACATGCCAACGGCTCAAGCAGAAATCTCATTGTGAACGTGTCACGCTAACATCTACATACATATGTGTATGCATTTCGGCTTTGCTGCAATAAGTGTCAGCGTGCGACATGCCAGTGTGGGTCACAAGAATTATGTTTGTCAAATGCTCGTGGTATGAGCAGCGTATAATATGCATGCGCTGTGGCTGAGCATTATAACTTTGCTCGTAAATTGAATTTTTATTCGCCGAAAAAATATTAGTTTCATATGCTTTCCCTTGACATTGGTACTTTGTTGATGAGGAAAGCAAATTTTTGATTTTTCGCTTAACATTTGTCAACACAAATACTCATGGCAACTGATTTCAGTGCAAGTTGAAAGCGACCGTCTTCGTGTGTGCTTGTGTCTGCTCTATGGAACTGTCTCTGTCTCATTCATCAATTGTGATTACAAATGTGCACTGATAGGCTCGTAGTTGGTTGCAAAGTTTGGCTTTCTGCACCAGACATTGTTTTGAAAAATTAATGTCCTTCTCTATTCAGAGTTTGCTTGCAGTGGTGGGTGAGAGTTGTCTGTCTTCCTTGAACTGCGCGCAGTGTTTGGTAGGATTGTATGTATTTATATATGTATATATGTGTGTGTGTATGTTAACTTGACAGTGGTAATGCATTTTTGGTATTTTGCCAAGTTTCTCAATTTTCTGTTGCTGTTGGTCATTCTCTTTAAATGTTTTGTACACAGTTTTGTCAACTCTCTGGAGACGTTATTGAGTGGTCGGAAGTTATTTGTAAAATTTTTAAATTTTCGTTGATATAAGAATATTTATATCGTTCATAAATCTGAAAATTGAAAACAAGAATATAAATTCTCAAGCCATTCAGTTAAAACTCACAAAACGTATAGATTGCCAGCGGCAAGTTGCGCCTAAAGCTATGCTACCGAATTTCAGTGCTTAAGGAATTGATCAAGCGGAAAATGAGCAGGCATTAGGTTTGATAAATACCCTAAAGGAGGGTTTTTAAAATCGAAATATAATATAAGCTATGTATTGATCTAATAACAAGTCATCCATTATATTTGCCTTAAATTTAAGTCTTTATTTACCATAGTCAGGATTAACAGATTTATGTATTGTTTTGTCATTTTTAACCTCTTTCATAGATACCTTTGTCTTTATTGGAAAAAAATTGGTATAATCGATTTGCACATGCTTCTCTTGTGGCCAATTCTTCACCAGCCAAACCTTTCGCCCTAGACAGCAGGTTCCGGCTGTAAGGTGAATGCATAAAAACCTCTCAATCAAGCTCTTGGACCTTCTGACGAGTCACTATCGATGTATGTGGTCTAAGGTTTTCCTGGTGAAAGATAATTTTTTTCCTCTTGGCCAAAACTAAGCGCTTCTAGGGATTGCTGCCTTATAGGAGCAGCTTACAGTGAATGATTGCTTGTCAATCCCACAAAACATACAATCAAATTTTAAATCAATCCTGGCCTGCCTTTCGACAATGACCGATCTCTTGATAGTTTGCCTTTGATGTAAGCTAACCACTTTTCATCATCAGTCATCAGTCTGCTTCAGAAATAAGTTAATTTTATTACGATAAGCACTGGATATCGTATGGAAACTAAAATGGAAAAAATAAAGACTAAAAAATCAAATTAATTCACCCAAAAATGCTATTAAAACATTATATTAATTTGTCCGAATATTAAACAATAAAATCAGCCTAAATGTATACCTCTTATGAAGAAATGATGTCCGCCGCAAGGTGCTGTTAAGCAGTTGGGGGTGTATTTTTAAAAAAACTATACAACAAATTTAAAGCCAAATATTCGTATATGTTTGCATGTACGTATAAGAATATAAAAATATTTCTTTTAGGCAATTTAAGACTTTTACCTAGTCTTTCTTGCCAGCGTTTTATACATTAACATTTCTCAAAGTAAATACAATTGAATTGACCCCCTTTGGCGATATATTTCTTGTTTGTCTAAATATGCCTTTATGATCTTTTATTGCCTTTTCTTGAAACAATTTCAAGTATACATTTATTGCTTAAAAATTACAGAAATATAAACATTTGCTGATGTATGACCATAAGCACTCACAAACACATGAACAAATGGCACCTACCCCCCCTATACATTCATAAGTGTTTCCCTACGTGTATTTTAACATAACAATTAACATAAACAATTAACATTGCTTAAATTGACTAGTTTTTAGTAAACATTGTTACCCTGTACAATTTGTTTACACTGTGTACTGGCACGTACTACATATGTACATACATACATATATGTAATAGTGAACGTCCGTTCGCTAAAAACACAATTTTATAAGGAAAACAGCTCTTCACCAATACTGAGTAAAGCATGGCTAGCTCGAGCATCGCTGTGAAGTCAACCGGTTTACCTTTGATACTCAGAACAAGTGTTGCCAAATGTTTAAAATAAATGCATTTCAAAAATAACTAAACTTTGGGCATTTCAAGGCATCGATTTCCGCAATCTTCAATGTCATAGATTTGGAATCAAAAGTAAAAAAAAATTAGGAGATTTAATTTTCGTGTGAAGAGCTACTAACCCTCATTTTTGCTCCGGGATATCCTTAAACGAAGTCTAGTTTGATTATAGTTTGATATAGATTTGACTATAAGCTCCTGTCCAGCGTATTATGTGAAAGACTGAAGCCCACAGTCAAAAGTCTGATTGGACCTTATCAGTGTGCCTTCAAACCTGGTAAGTCAACCATTGACCAGATATTCACCATACGCCAAATCTTAGTAAAGACACGTGAAAAGGGGATCGATTTCAAAGCCGCCTTCGAGAGCACGAATAGAAGCTGCCTTCACGACGCTATGTCGGAATTTGGCATCCCCGCAAAACGGCTGTCTAAGCTGGCGCTAGACAACACCAGAAGGGCATTCAGAATTGGAACCAAACGAGATTTCAGACAGGGTGACTCTTTGTCGCGTGATTTCTTCAATTTGATGCTGGAGAGAATAATAAAAGCTGCAGAGCTGAATAGAGAAAGTAAAATCCTCTATAAGAGTGGACAAATACTGGCCTCAACAACTGCGCCGTTAGTTCTGCTTTCTCCAAGTTCGATGCAGAAGCGAAGCTAACGAGTCTGGTAGTGAACGTGGACAAGACGCAATGTCTGCTTTCATCGTAAAAACAGTAATCGCTTTAGCGATTTGGCTCCCTTGTCACTATTGATAGTCATAACTTCGAGGACATAGATAATTTCGTTCATCTAGGGACCAGCATCAAAACGAATAATAATGTCAGCCTTGAAATCCAGCGCAGAATCACTCTTGCTAACAGGTGCTACTTTGGACTGAGTAGGCAATTGCAAAATAAAGTTCTCGTCCGACGAACAAAATCTAAACTCTACAAGTGCATCAACGTTTCCGCCCTGCTATATGGTGAGGAAGCATGCAGTCAATATCATCGGCGTACGCCAGCAGCTGTACACTCTTATAGGATATTGTACCTTCCCTATTCAGATCTGTCGCTCTTATTATTTTCACCAGCACCACACTGAAGAAATCACACGAAAGGGAGTCATCTTGTCTCAAACCACGACTAGTAGCGGGAAGGTCATTCCTAATTGTTACAGAAATTTTGATGTTACTCAGTACCAGGTTGCATTGCCGAGTTTAGCTCGATTAAGTGCTGTCGAATGCAGCTTTAAATCGTGTAAGATGTGACGCGTGTCTATTCTTTTACAAAGGTCTTTTCCTGTATTTGGCGCATTGTGCATATCTGTTCGGAGCTTCACTGAATATTATAGCTTTTTTATTGAAACTTACCAATATGGCATCACCATTCACTCACACACCAATAAGTGGGCTCACATGCATTTGCTAGAGAAGCGAGAATGCTTGTGCACTCTTAAACACAGATACACCAACGCATACACCTGCAGCTCAACACAAATACACATACATACAACCATATGCAGACAAAAATAAATCCCAATACATACATGCATACATACATACATACGTACATATGGATGTATGGTGATAACTGTTTGGTTGACTTACATATGTGAGGCATGACCACAGCGGAGTTGTGATAAAAATAAACATAAATGTATAAAATGAGGAAATGTTGCTATTGCTCTTCTCATGAGCACAGCAGACAGCCGCTAACCAGCCACAGAGCGGTAGCAAATAATCACTATGCAACATGGGAGCGCCGTTGAGCGCCAATTGGCGTCTAAGCAGCATTGTGACTATATACATACGTATTGACGTTCGCTAAGTGGCCAAGCAGAGCACGGCACAACACAGCAAAGCGCAGTGCAGCGTCGCTGCGGCGAAGGTAAGCTTAGAGCCTCAGTTTGTTTCGGGCTCTCGTGCTAAGCGGTACAACACCTAATCGATGCGATATCATCGACAAACAGTGTTTCGCCACTTAAAGCAAAGTTAACGACGAATCGCAAACGAGTTAAAAAATAAAATTACTAAAGATTGTGTTTTGATTTTCGTAAATTTCGAGTGAATAAAAAGTAAAGTATACATACATACATAGTAGTAGACTAGTATGTAATTACAGTGTAGGTTGATAAGAGCATAGAAATGTAGTGTAATATATAAATACATACTATACATATGCACATACATATGTGTAATACAATAGGTTAATCATCATACGTGTATTTACAAAAGAAGTTGCATGATGATGCTTGTGAAACAACAATAAAGTGACAAAAGCAAAAAACACACACAAGAAAACGATAATAATTTTAATAATAAGGCATATAAATGAAATGAAATTACAATACAAGCATGCAAACGCAGAAAGAAGTGCATAAATGAATTAGTAAACTTGCCTTTAAAGACTGTGTGTGTGTAGTTGAGTGTTTGTAATCGCCAGAAAGGCAGCCGTTTCAAATTGTCAATTGGGCATCTCAATTCCAGACACAACAGACAGACGCAGACTCACCGGTGTCCAGCTGACGCGAGATAAAAATATATATTTATTGTTGTGTTGTGGGTGTGTTTACTACGTTTGTATGTATATATATAGATATACGTTCATATGTGCTTATAAATTTGCGCTTATGTGTTTGTTACGTGGATTTGCTATTAATTTATATGTGTTCATATATGCCTATATGTATATTCTCAACGAGACTGCAATTCAAGTCAATTTGTTGAGAATAAAATTAAATTAAATAAATTGCATAGAAAAAGAAACTCAACAGACATTCAGTTGCAAGGAGACTCAAGGTTTGTGTTATGTGCAAAATGGTGAAAGAATAATAATGAAATACGAATATAATAAAAAAGCAAAAGAGGCAAAAAATTTTTACTACTAAATAGTAATTTGAATGAGTACTTGGCTATGCGAAATGCAAATAGAAATTGAGTTGCTGTGAAAATGAAATATGCATAGAATAATAATTAACGAGTATATTATTTACTATATACTCGTGTTAGTCATTTACGATACGCAATAATTCAAAACACATAATAATTGATCGGCTAGGATCTTCTGCTTACAACTAGTGTTTATAAATGTTTTGAAATCTTGTTATTGATTTGATATTTTTTTACATATATGCATATATACATACATACGAGTATATAATATAACTGGACACACGAATCATAATCCGCTAAAGTCAGTTTTTTTGAAATATAATTTTAATTTATTTTCGGAAAGCCAATTTAAAGTTTGAATATGTGCATTAAAGATTTTTACATTGACGAATTACTAACAAAACCGTTACATATAGCAATCTGATAAATTTTTACACTACTTCCTTACTTTTAAGGAGTTACATGGGCTCCACAGCTTCAAAAAATCGATTTTATTTTCTTGTCTTATTAACTTATTCAACATCTCTAGAATAATATACTAAATTTTCAGTTCGATGTGAATAAAAGTTTCGGAGATGCAGCTTTGTGAAGCTGTGCGCACTTAAAGCTCAAAGGCAGAGCTCACCTGCGCTATACACTTAGAATGAGTTATTATCGAGAGTGTGTTTTCTCAAAAATTACTCAACCGATCTTGATGTAATTTTACACAGATCTCTGAGATACAAATCGCAAGAAATTTTTTTTCCGTAACTATTTCTCAAAAAAAAAAAAGGCAAAATTTGAATTTTTTGAAAAAAAAAAATTGCCAAAAATTCGATTTTTTTCTTTCGCTCAAATCATAGTTTGTGGTATTAATCAAAACCTGATATTTTTTTATTTAAATATAGTACATTTAAATAAAACCTTGTGCATGTAACAATGTATCTGTCAATATGTGTAGCGTCCATATTATTTGTAAGAATACAAGGGGTCCTAATTAAACGTTAAAATGTAAACTTTGCTAAAACAAGTCCCCGACTTTCATAATTTTTTACTAAAATTTGTAAAAATAAATAATTAATTTTTTTTCATTTTTCTTTGTACAAATTCTAGTTTGTAGCATTTACTAATATACGATATTTTTGATTTTGACTTCGAACAAACTCATGTAAGGGAAGTGGCTTAGAGTGAATTTTTTCATCCTTTAAAGTGAATTCTGATTTTCTGTTTCAAAAACATTACTTAATTGGTAGAATAGGGAATTGTATTTAATACTTCTCTGTAAGCGAGATCGTTCCCTAAGCTTCACCTATTCCTGTGCTTATATTTCTGATATATATTTTTTTAAAATAAATAATAAACATAAAGTTAATTTTTTTAAATATATATTTTTTCACAAAATATTGCACTCAGTCCTCTTGTTCTAAAACCAACAACTCACTGAAATATGTGTTTAGCTGTTAATTTTTTTTTTGCAATTTATATCTGATTTACATTGAGTAATTAAAAATTTCTTTTTGAAAATGTTTTTAATCACAACGCAATTATGCATAATTCGCATAAATTATGGTTTTTCCATGGCACTTGAATTTACTTTATGCACTTAAGATTAAATTTTTGTAATTTATAAATATTTTGTATATTTCTCTGAATTTTTTAATATAATATTCATACATGCGGTCAAGGGATTTTTCGTGAATCAGCCTATGAAGTGTTTTTGTATTTTGCTTCAAAAATATATGAAATTTAAATATTAATATATGATAAAAATAATAAATTCTGCTTCCAAATTTTTTCTAAGTGATTTCACTGCATTTTCCTTGAGTTTCCTAGACATTTGTGATTTTAAGGGGCACACCTAATCGATATCTCGGTAGCTAGAGAGTCTCATTAGCTACGAGTGAAAACAATCATTTTATTTTTAAACACGTTTTTCTTGAAACACCATTTTCCAAATTTGCTGCAGTGATTACTCAAAAACTAATGAACCGAACACTATCGAATTTTTTTTACATGTTCTATACATATTCTCCGTACAATGACCTATCGATCTTTGATCTGATCAAAAAATCGAATTTTGACAGGCCAAAAACGACCAAAATTTTGGGTAAAATTCGACTATTTTTTTTTTAAATGCCGCCATATTGGCAATTTTTGATTTCTTTTTTATCGCAGGTCATTGTACAGACAATATTATCTTATCAAGATTTTTTTTTAGATTTCATCCACGGAGAAGGCCGAAATCACTGCCGAAATCCATTTTTTCGCGCCGTTGGAGATTGACTATAACTTAAAAAATATTTAATTTTTTTCTTCAAAAATTTCTTTGTGTATTCTTGAAACATGTATAAATATATTCTTAAAATTTTGAAATTATTGATAAAGTATTTTTTTTAATCAGAATTCCCAAAAATCACTTTATTAGGCCATTACACTAGGTGTGGCCCTTAAATAATTCCGTTTTCCATTCTTCTTACTTTCAATGAAATGAATTTCGCACACGCTTAAAACTTTGTCTTTTATTCTACAAAGTTCAAAGAATTTTTCCAACCATTCAAAAATTAATTTTATGAAATACCTACCGTGGTTTTATCTCTTAAGTAACTTAAAAGTCATATTTTCAAATTCCCCATACTAAAGTTATATATTTATTATAAATAGCAGGTGTGTTTGCATAATAAACATATTTAATATTCGCCCAATATGGCAAAACAACATTTCGTTTTTTTATGAAATTCCATTTAAGCTGTAGCTGAAGCGAGAAAACTGTTTATAACGCTTCTAGCGGAATGACTCATGGCAAATGAAATAACAGTTTTACAATGATAAAGATGATTTCTTTGTTTGCCAAATGATATTCAGTAGTGTAAAAAATATTTAACTATGTAAAGCTGAGTAATTCGGCATGCAAATGCAGGTTACATACATACACATGTGCAAAATTGTTAAAGCGAAAGGTTGTTACAAGCAAATCACCTTCTAATTGTATAATTTTTTTTTCATTAGTAAAGTGACTTTCGGAAATTGTTTTTTTTTTTAACTAGAAATTGTATTCATAATTAGACGTATTGTTTTTTAATTGCACATATAATAACTAAAATATTTAACGCATTTGTAATGATTCTAAATCTTAATTTTTATTCGAGGAAAAAGCGCCTTTTAAAACGAAAAAAGATTTTCTGAAAATTTCAAAGCAAAATATTCATAGCACCGTCATTTTGACATCATTTCCGGCAACCTCTAGGAAAAAAGTTATTTCTGCGTTCAGTATAGAACCAATAACCGCATTATCTTAAGTGAATAACAAAAAAAAAAATATATTTGGGTTTAATACCATGAACTTGAATTTGGAGGAAGAAAAATAATTTTTTTTTTGCTTTTTCGGAGCTTCAATTAAAATTATGGTCAAATTTGTTGAACATTTTTTTTTTTATTACATAATTGTGTTTGAAAAAAATATCCTTCAAAATTTCACCAAGATCCTATGAGTAGTGTTCGAGTACTTTTGACTACCGACTGTGAGAGCACAGTTTCGAGAAAAATGCTTTTAATGTTAAAAGCGCTGAACCTACCTGTCTTTGAGCACTCACCTAGCCAAGACTGTGTCTCCAAAACGTTATAGAATATTCTCGAGACAAATAACTTTCTATTTTTGACTGATCTGTGAACTAATGGATAGAATATTTAAAGAATTTGTCGAGAAAACTTGATTTTAATTAATGGATCCGATAGTTACATACTTTCCATATAACAGGCTTAATTATGGCTCTCTCATAGAAACCCCTATTTCTATTGAAATTAGGACGGTTGATTTTCACAAATTTCTTTGAGTTGTATTTATAAAACATAATTCCCCTATATTGGCCTAGGCTGTAGGGTAGCAGCTAGTGGACGATTCCTTGACAATCCCACCAATCACACAACAAAATCTTCCTAGTCGTTAATCTTGACTTGGAGATTGTATGTGTAGATCCACTGCCCTTGAACCACGACCGTTTTCGTTTGATCGCTCTCGATTTTGTTATGATTTAGCAGCGATTTGCAGATGGAAATTCGGTTCATGAGGTTTCGGTTTATGTATCATCCCGTGAATTTAGGAAGTAGTGAGTTATACGATATCCATTAGGAATCAACTGTGTTTATATGAAACTATGTAAAAATATCAAACTCTAAATTGTCTAACTGAAAAACTAAAAAGCGGACTTTGGTGATTATGATTTGGAAAAAGAGAATTGAGTTCTAATAAATAAAATGAATAAAAAATAATAAAAATAATTGATTATACATATATGTATGTGTATGCATGTATGTACATACATATATACTATATGTCACTAACTATTTTAATTAATTTTAGTATTATATAATATATATATAAATATATGCTCCAAATGAGTGCAAAATGGCATACAAAAGTGGCTTAGAAAAAAACTAATGCAATTAAAAATAACAACTGTATTCGCGGCAATCGTGTGAGTGTTGAAAAGGAAAAGTGAAAAAGTTATACAAACAAAAAAAAAAAAACTAAATACAAAAATTATTCAAGCCAATCATAAAAATCTCTAAAAAAACAAAGCAAGAAATCGAAAACCTTTCACTGGCACCTTAAATATAAAAACAAAATATACGCATGCACATGAAAATATATGTATGTATGTACATATATGCATAAGTGTTTAAAAATAGACCAAAATTCAAAGCGACATAACAACAAAATTGAACAACAACTAATAAGAAAAGTACATAAAATAACAACGCCTCCAGCAGCCAGCAGCAGCAGCAAACAAGCCAGATCCAACTTCGTTCCAGGTGCAGTGACGTTAGCAGAAAAATTACCCAGATCGCCTTCATTGCAAGCAAGCAGCATTTGTGAACTATTTACCTTTTCCTTTCACGTTTTTCCACCATTTATGGCACAAGTTTTCGAGTGCGCATATCTGCCACCGCGTCTCTGTGTGCTAGAAGAAGTGTTGTCGACTATTACGATACGCCTGCGCGTGTGCTAATGTACCTACCCCACTAAGCAAATCAAAGCAGTGAAGCAATGACCAAGCATGACCAACTATTCAATGTGTGTGAAGCGTAAACGCGAGTGAGAAAAGTAAAACGCGAAATCGACACAACTCCCTCTTTAGCCGTTTCCAATAAATCCTACAATACGTGCAATGTACTCCGCTCGTATCTATGAGTTCTTAACCCAAATCGATATTTGAATGCATTTAGCGAGTGCGAGTGTAAAAAACTTTTCTTTTTAACGCAAAGCAAATGGGTCCATTGTAAACGCGGTGTACTAGACTAAGTGAATTGGGAGTACTTGTGCCGCGATCAGCGCTTTAGTTGTCACTCTCTATACCTACATACATACATAATATATAATATTAATAGCTAGTGCTAATAAAACGTGTGCATTGTAGACCGGCAAAGTACCCAACTAACCTACATTCAAATTTAGTTACAGACTCCACAGACGGCGCAAGACGGCGGAATAAATAAAATAAAGCAAAACTCAAAGCGAACGCCTGCGGAGTGGACTAGAATCTAGCAAGCGATTGCAAGGCTCCTAGACGTAAAGGTGCTAAAGTTGCGTTTCGCGTTTGCTATTGCAAAATCGTACAAGGTGCTCCGCGTATGCAGCCATAGTAAATTTTTAAATCAACTGACCAAGAGACGCTACATTGACTGCGGCAACGATTACGTCTTACGGCCTGCGGTGTGGTGCTGAGAGAGCGGTGCTGCAAAACAAGTTTAGTGCCACTAAAAGTGCAGCTACAAGCCAGCGACAACGGGTCGTAAACAAAAAGTGACCTACAAATACAGGTTTTCGTGTTCGGTTATTGTGACAAACAACAACGGTCTGAGCCAGAGCCAGAGCCAGAGCCAAAGCCAGAGCCAGAACAACAGCAGTCAATACTATAAACAACAACAAACCACATACAATAAGTAGTAATCAAATACCAGCTACTAGCGGTTTCATACCGACCCAACTAGACTTGGTTGCAGCAGGAGTGCCGTGGCGAGGTGACGTACAAATAGTCCGCGTGAATAGTTAACTAAGCAAAACCAGCTATGCCAGCAACGCCAATCACACCAACAAAGACGACAACAACAATTATGAGTACAACGGTGCCGGCAGTGCCGTTGAAAAAAGCTGGACCGCCTGTACCACCGAGGCCATCGCATGCAGGCAGTGGAGCACACGCAGCAGCGGCGGGTTTATTAAAAACACAGCAACGCAATGGCAGAGATTCAGTTATGAATGCTGCATCTACCACAATACAGAACCGCATTGTAACGACGACAACAACAGGCACATCAACCAGTTCTGCTGCTGCGACTTTGTCTTCAAGCGGTCGCGTGAGTGTGGAGACAGCAGAAACGCAACAGCACAATTTACAACATCCGATCATACAGAAGAAACCAACATCGTTGAGCTCCTCAGTTGGTACTGGCGCTGGTGGTCGTACGGTTGTTTATAAGTCACCCTCGATGAGTGCACCCAAACGTCCGGAAGCATCGTCGCCCACTGTCGTTACCACATCTGCTACTACTAGTAATAGCAGAGCCGGCGTTAGCGGTATTGGTCCGAAGCCGCCTTTGAAACTGCGTAAAGCACCAGATATTCCAACCATGAAACCGAAAACAACAACAACAACACCAATTCAAAATGAACCAACTACGCCAACAGTGGATAAAGAGGTTGGCAGTGTCACCAAAGTGCCTGGTAATAGCAATAGTGTTTTGATCGGCAAAAGTCCACCGCCTCCACTGCCAACAGCCGCCAACAGTAGTAGCAGTGTTGTCATTGTTCAAACGACACCCAGTGCAGTAAATCTCAGTCGTCACCACTCCATGGGCAGTGGCTCGCCAAAGACGCAAACACAAGCGAGCAGTTTGAAGGATACGCGTCTCAGCTTGGGCCGCGTAGATTTCGAGCGCGTTGGCAAAATACAATTAGATCAATTGCCTACGTCGGTGCAGCCGCTGCCACGTCCTCGTAAAATTGTCAAAGTGCCTGTTGCCACGCTCGATTTAGACGATACTTCCACCACCAGCGGTACCCAATCGAATACGTCCAGTGTGAGTCTCTTTCGCCGTTCGAAAACCACACTTGATAACTTTACTTCACGTGCCAATATCACTACGATCAATACGGGCGGGGTGGCCAATACATTTCTTGGTGGTAAGACGGCTGAGCTAAAGAATAATCTTAAAAATGCAGCCGAACGTTTATTCTCGGAAATCATAGTTAATCAACAGCGTCATGGTAATGAATCGCCGGTGATAACAAAACATGAGCCAGCTCTGCAATATCCGACCACAAACCACGCTAGCGTCGCCGCCACTACTGGTGCTTCGGTAACTGTCGTTACTACCGGCGAGTTGAGCAGTAATTGCACTCGTATCAATATCAATACGAATAATGGTGAAAAAATCGAAAACATATTGAAGTCGCCAGAGAAAAAGGCTGCCTTCCATGAGATACTCATCTCAGAGTTGGCAGCTATGCGTGGCCGTAGCAGTTCCATGGAGAATTTGACCAGCGTTGAGACGCCTAAAGCGATTAAGAAAGAACAAGTACTACTAAATAGTCCAGTTTCCGAGCCAATTACTAAGTTAACAACAACAAATCAAATCGAAATGACAGCAACACCAGCAACAATGAAGTTAACACCAAACACGAACATTTCGAACACGAACAATTCGAGTAATAAGCCCGTTAACAATAAAACACGTCAACGGTGCAATTCAATTGAGGACCCCGATACCGAAGATGTCGATGCTGATAATATAGATGACACGGAAGATGGCGACGAAGATGAGTTGCAAAAGAAAAATCGCAATAATAAACTGAATGGTGGTGTTGGCACACCGAGAAAACGTTGCCCTTCCGGCTGCTCCTCGGACTCCTCGCCCTATGGCACTGAACGTTCGGCGCGTATACGCACTTCCGATTGGATTGAGGTAGGCGATAATGGTAAGGAGGTTACCATGACTAGCTGTCACATTAGTTTGGAGGATTCCGGTTTAGAAGATGAAGAGCGTTTAGATGAAATGTCTTCGCTGGGTGTTGGTGATTCCTGGGACAGCGTAAAGGAGGCAGAAAATGTAAAGCGGTGCCGCAGTGTGAAGAGGTGAGTTTGTTTTAATTATTTTTCAGTAAAGCTTTTCGCTTAGTTAGTTTCGTGTTTTTTTTTTTTGGTGAAGCTAAAAATGGAACCTTTGGGGTTTTTATTACAGTTTACCAAAGAAGGGTCTATAGTTCTTTGTGGCTCTGAATGAGTTATATAGCAAAATTTAAAGGTGAGAAGCATTTACGCAGCCACACACTCGTGGTCCATATCTTTTGTGAATAAAAGAGGTGAGAGTGACGATACACCTTACTCTTAGGAAGTTATGTTCTTTTTGCTCGTTTAGTCTGTGTTTTAGATAGCTCTAACTGGCTTTTGTCCGATTGCAATGTCATATATATGATGATGGGAAGGATACGTCTTATTGTTGACAATTCTCCAAAGAAACTGTGGTTGATAGATTTCGAATCCCACATATCCCGCAGTTTTTATAAATATCAAACTAAATCTTAAATCGGTCAAATAATAAGATTTGAAGAGAGAGTATCTGATCTAACTGACAGTGATTGTGGGAGTGAAAATCATGATCGGTACCTTTTGTGAAGGAAAAAGATGAGTGAAACCATTCATGTTTTCGCCAAAGTAAGGCCTAAAATATCTCACATGCCAAATAATACCAAGAAGGAGCTGCTGGACATTGCTGTTAGTCGTCTCGTGACACACTCTTAGATATCAGTTTAAGGTTCTTCAACAAAATATAAAGTAGTTCGTGAAACTGCATGCTTACCAAGGCTGCACTAACAGGATCGTATCCATTTTATGAAACTTTCCATCTTCAAATCTCAAATTAACTGCTTTGTGCCCTCAATAGCTTCACGAATTCCATCTTTGATATCTTGTTGGCGTAGAGCTTAGCTTTCACCGGATCTCAAAAGAAGAAGTCCCAAGGTGTTAAATCACAAAATATCGGTGGCCCATTGCGATCACCCCTTCGAGAGATAACACGGTTTTTAACTTTTGCCTCAAAAGATCGACGGTTTTGGTGCTTGTGTGGACGACTGATGAGGATGAATTTTTTTTTTAATAATTTCAATATATATATATATATATTATATATTTTCCTTTATTACTGACGTAGTTTGCACTTGTCAAAGGTCAAAAAATTATTTCATCAAAAGTGACATCTACCGGAAAAGCACGCTTTTCGAAATAACATCTCTTATTGTAAAACCCTTTATATAAAAATACTTATATGAAGATTAGCTAAAATCCTTGCCGATAATTGCTTGAGACAGAACCGTCCTCTGGCCAATCAAACAAAAACAGTCGATATCCAACTAAGAGCTAGAGCAACTAAGATCTGAATAGTACAGCAACCCCATCTTTGTATGATCTCTAAAGCCAACTTATCCAACAACGCTTTCCCTTTGCCCCGAGCCAGGCGACTAGCTTTGTCTGCTGTCGATGAAAAAGAACCAAATCGGGCAGATGCTCAGATCAGAGCACATGCACATATCTAAATTTTATTCCAGCAAACCACTTCCTGACAGTCTGCCATACATCCTTGATATTTATATCGAACATATGTACATAATACATTCGTATGTACTATACGTGTATATGAGTCCGCTATTGGCAATCTTCGAAAGTAAATATTTTTCATCCTGTTTCCTGTCAATTGAATTTGTTTTTATTCTGTATTTTATCTGAACAAACCCATAGATAAAAAAATCGAATATACCAGAAGTGCTAAAAAATCTGCCCTTTTAAAAAGTCAATAAATTAAACAGAAAGGACAACAACAAAGTGAATAATCGCTTCAAAGCGATATTTGATTAGTTAAGGATATTTATTTACTCTTCCTGTCGTGATCGATCGTTGGCAAGCGCAAAAGGTAAACATGAAGATGGTTGCTTACCGCAGCGCAGCTCACATTACAGGGCATACTCGTGCATTGCAAAGCACATACAAATGTGTAGGCATGGCATGTATGTACAATACATATGTACATATTTACAGAAAACAAATCTGCCCAAAGTCATCGCTTACCATTTGCCATTTATTCAGGGAATCACTTCTGCTAGCATATAATTAAGGTTGATAAACTGTGTCTGCTGTGAAGTTAACTTATTTATTATTTACTCATTTTGAAATTCGGCGCACAGCAGGTCATATACATACATACACATACACACTCACATACTCATGCAATATCGACTGCATGGTCGTTGTAACCCAAAAATCAACAGTGACTTTGTGCGCTGCTGAAACGTTCCATATCTCATCTTGCGATAAGATAAATACTGTGAAATATTTTTTTTAGGTTTCTGTATATAATTACATATATATATACATGTATTACTTTGCTTTTGTGTATTTTGTGGCAGGACAGAAAGGCTGCTGCATTGCGGCAATCACCAGCGAATTTGTAGCCAAAGTGTCAGTATAGTCACGTTTGGGGCATGAAACGCCAGATATTCTTATGTGCATGGTAAAGGGTGTTTTTTTTAGACAAATGGTTTTCAAGAAGAAATAAAATGCTTATAATTTGAAGCTATATTATAAAGGTAAGTGTTTGCCATTATGCTTGGAAAATGATTTGATGCAATGTGTGTTTGTTGAAACCAGAAGTCGTTGACATCAACATCCTCCAATTGAGGTACGAAAGAGTCATTAATCATGGTTCTCTAATGTTCCCCATTACTTGTATCATTATGGCCGGCTACACTTTTGAAGAATCATGGACCAATGATTCCCTCTACCCATAGGGCACGACAAACAATGACTTTTTGAGAATGGCGGCCACATTAAGCGAGTAGCTAGAATGGTGCACTAACATTCGGATTTCTAGGGTTCAGGTCCTGGTCCGACCGACATATTAAAGTATAGAAAATTAATTTTTCTTTTTGCGATCGCACCTCGGCAGGGAAGTCTTCCTGTTGTATTTCCGACATTAAGTCATTAAGTCTACCGGTCGTACGAAGAATAAACCGTAGGTTCTTTCATTTGGTAGAAAAACATCACGACGCAAAACCACAAATTGAAGCTTGGATTTTTTAAGCCCGTAAGCCAAGATCCTTCCGCAAAATCTTTTATAAAGTGGATGGGCACAGCTTCAATTGCTGCGCTCGATGGCGAATGGACTCATTGGTGTCTTCTTCGATACTTTTCTCCATAACAGCAAAAGCGCCGTCGGTGCGCCCTATACGGTGTCTCTAAGGATGCGCATTATTCACTGAGTAAACGCGGCTTAACCGATCCATGATTGATCGAATTACTGACTCTGTCTTACTGTCGATCCCATATTGGACGCCACTCGCATTGTGTCGTGCGAACCGAACCATTCTAGTTGTGATATATTTGAATGATTTGCAAAATTTTTGCTCCAGAGAAGTCTGTTTAGTGTGGAATGACAAAACAAACTGAGTAAAAATCAAGAATAATACAAGTCCAAAAAGAGCACCTTTTACTTAAATAAATGTTTGAAGACAAAAAATCACATATTTCACGTTTTTAATATTTTATAAATATACGTTTTTCAATATCAATTGGCATCTTAACTGTTTAATTTAGAGTTCAGGTGAAAATGACGACTTTGCTGAAGACCTATAATAAAATATCATATAAACTGTAATTTACGAATGGATTAATATTCATAATTAATATGCATACAATTACATGTGTGTATGTTTGTGAATATGTATATAAAATATTTGTTTTAAAAAATTGCAACGAACCAAAGTAAACCTTCAATCAGCGGGTGTTTTCAGCTGCACATCAGATTTTTTATTGCTTCATATTTTGCTGCTATAAGAGCAAATAATTTTTTAGCTGTAGTTTTTTCAGCATTTTTCAACATTCGTCGAGCTGAAGTGTCAGCTGCCTACATTAGTTTATATACATACATATATACATATATGAAAATATGTAAAAAAAAAATTGAAAATACTGACACATCTTCGTATCCGGGTTCAACTTTTGAACAAAGTGCTTATTTATTTGTATGCATTGCTGACGCCACCTTCAAAAAGGTTGCCATTAGAGAGTATGTACTTGTATTAGTGCTTCTTTTAAAACCCAAAACACTTCTCAAACTCGAACAGCCGTTAGATCTTTCAGCGATGCGATGAGAAAAGGCAATGACGTGTAAGCTGGTGCATTACGGAAACGACATTCGACTTGTTAGCACTACTTTTTATTGACCGTTTAACCTGGTGCCAAGTTTTCCTGATGCACTATGAATAGCCTTCATATACGACCGATTTTGTCGACCCTTTTTCGGTCTTGGCAAATAAGAATACCTACACTGCGATGATTGAGCATTAGTTCCGATGTTCCACATAATATATAATCTCAGTGGCGATCTCTGTGACAAAAGTCAACTATGAAACCAACTCTTTCAAGCCCGCGAAATCTAAGAATACTCATAATTTTTTGAACACACCTCGTATCTATATAAAAATAATTCCATTCCGCCAACAGGATGCGATTTTTTGGATTTTTTGCTATATTTTTGTTTCATATGTTGACATTTTTTTTGCTGGCTGAAAATTCCAACCTTGTAGGTAGTGATGTTGACAAATAAGAGGGCCATTTTGACTATATAACCGAATAAGGTCTGTTCACTATGTTTTCGCATTTTGAACCCAAGTCGCTTAAATCAACTCAACCTGAGTATTTTCCATGTAATTCGATAAGCAACTGGGTGTTCTTTTGTCGGTTGAATGCAAAAAACAATAGTTTAGTTATAGCTTACGTCCTACAATCTTTTAAGAGAGGGTCGAGCTTCGATGGTGGTCGTATATTATCTACTAATAGAGTTTTAACTCGTTTTCGAACGTCTGCCGGTTTTTTTTATGTATGAATACTCATACTTTTATATGTATATGAGAAGTTTTAATTTTTATGTCTAAAATACGTTCGAGGTTATGGCCTCCAGAGAAACAAACTTCATTTCAATTTGGTATCTGAATATTTTTGTAGATCTTGTTCTGATCTTTAAAGCACAACTTTTATGGTTGAGTAGTTTGGAGAAGTGTTTTTTTCACACAAGCCCGTTCTGA